AGTCCCTCTTGGAAATGTCATCTCTCTCTTACTTGGCCCTCTCATTAGATGGCCATTTCCCAAAAATTCAGAAATTTTTTTGGTCACAATTTTTTTGCCTTGTTTTTCACCTTGAAATACTGTCCCTCACAGAAATAGCATCTATGTTGGCATCAAGAAGTAGGAAGTTAGATTTTATTTTCTAGATGCCTCCAAGTTGCTCTTTCACTGAGCATAAAGATATTATGTCTTCTCTTTTTCTGTATTTCTTGTTCCACCTACTTAAGGCCAATCTACTTCCTCCATCTTACCACTTTTTTTTCTGCTGAGATTACCAAGACCTTGGTTTATTAGGAGAGAAGCGTGAAAAGGAAGGTCAATGAGAAGTATAAGTGGTATTACAGTGATTTATAGAAAAAATCAGAAATGTTCTATCTTGCATTTTGAAACAGTTTTTCACAATAAAAGGTCTAATGAAAGATTACTTATGTCTGAAGGAAAGCTGAAATTAACTCTGAAATTGCAATATTTACACTTACCTTATGTTGTGGCTAGTGATTGGTACCCGAATGAGTTCCAGCAATGAGGTTCCACCACCTAGTTCCCAAAAATGAGCTATATCTTTGGGCTGGAAAAGAGTTTCTTCATGTGAGAAATGTGTGCTTCCATACAGCACCAAGGAAAAACTTTCATCTGGCAAACTAGCTTTTCATGCAAGTGACTCAGAACAAGAACATATATTATTTCACTACTGTTTTCTGAAAAACAAGACCAAACTAAAAGCTACCCATGTTTAAGAAATCCTATACAACACTTAGAAAAATTCCTGGCATGCCTATAACTGTCTTGATAAAAGACTACTGTAAAGTAAAAAAAATAAGGAAGCAGCATGACAAACCTAAAAAAAAAAAAAAAAAAAGGTCAAGATTCCCTTCCCTTTCTTTTTAGTATTGCAGCTCAAGACAAATGCTTTTTGAGAAGTTTGCAACTGGGAAAGTAATGAACATCTACCTTCAGATTTAGTTTCTGGGGAAATCTTTAAGTGATTTTTATCTTTCAGAGTCAGATTTTCCACTCCTGTTACTTTTGTTACTTCAGTAACAGACAGCAATTACCTGCAGCAACAGTTATTGCTGCTGAGCAGGTTGTGCTGTGATGTGAACAGGTTCATTACTTCGATTACCATAATCTGCAGTGCAAAATTTAGTGATATGGAGACACAACCCAAAAACTTCACTAAGATTTAACATCCTCTAAGATGACTGTTTCTGTCACAAAACTGGTTGTAGAGTATCTTCACTGGTTTGTAGCCGTTTTGCATGTTAAAGACAAAGTTAAACACATGCATACTATGTTGCAATGGGAAAATAAAAGCATTCAAACACAACTCAAGTTTATAATGAACTGGATTGCTTTGTGCTATAATTTGGTCTCTGCTGTACTGTTTTAGCACGAGGGGAAGAACATATTACAGATTAAAACACAAACTTCAGCTAGCTAATTAAAATTATATTAACCCTCCCTTTTGCTTCACAAACAATAAGCTAAAACCCTAAGATTCTTATATCTAAAAATAAAACATCTTTTATGTGTGTGTATATATATACATGTATGTATATGGTAAATTATACTTTCTGGATACTCACTGTATTGTGTCTCCTTGCCCTTCTTCCAAAAGTATATTCCAAGGCTAATGTTGGCTTTGGAGACTCTTCCCTATGCAAGGAAAAATAACTACATTTTGTCAAGATCCTCTAAATAAAGAAAGTTAATTTTATGGTTATTAAACTAGTTTAAAATTTGGCATAGAGACAGCAATACAGACAGGATGCATTAAGACAGCAAGCCTCAGTCACTGAAGACAGGAGGAGCAGCAGCAGCAACCCAAAGAGAGGAGCCATTTCAGCTCTCTAACAGAGGACAAGAAGGACTGAAAGGGTCAGATGACAGGTAGTAATGGAGAGAAGTCAGTTCACCCGTAAGTGATCAACTGGTCACAGAATACAGATTCTGTGTACATATCTTATCACACATTCTAACTGTTTATGTAATATTCTAATCTACAGCTGAAAACTGCTGGACAAGAATGTAACACATACCTCTCAAGACACCTCAGTATAATAGTGGTCTTTCCCTGGAAATTACAAACAAAGAAGAACCCTTCTGTAGTGTCATTGAAGCATAAAAGTTGTATCACTAAAACAAACTCGTTTAACATTCAAAAAATAAAGCACCAGAAAGCTCCAAATAAATGTCATTGTTTGTAGCCTTACAGTAGAAACCTAACTGCCAACTTGCTATCAGAATCAAGTTACACTACCATTATTATGACTAACAGAGATGACAAACACAGTAATAGGGACAGTGTACCTAAAATGAGACATTAGGGATCAACTTGGCCAACTCTTTTTAAACTGTTTTAATTATTATTAATCCATTTATGCAACATGTAGTTTCCACTGGAATTTATGATTACCAACGAGATGGAAACAAAAAGATTGCTTAAAATACAAGTAAACACACAGAAAGATATGCCTTTATGCTGTTGAAAGTTAGACACTGAGTACCATGACACTGAAGGGACTAGCACTTCTCCAGTTAACTCCTGTGTCTTTTCCTGTCTCAAGAATCAGTGAAGTCCTGGTAAATCTGAAAAGTCATTGTGTTTTCTCTGAAAAACCTATTTTAAAAATTACTGATTAAGAGGTTGCACACATACTGATACTTCTAAAATAAAAACTGTGATCTTAAAAATAGGACTTACTTCATCAAAAAGGCCAATCTTTCCTTATGAACTTTATGAATAAATGCTAACAGAAGAAAAACATGAAATTACCAGTGACCAACTTAGGGGACAATGAGTTAAAACAACTTTAAGCACATGGAATCATGAGTTGGCAATCAGTGATACAGCATGTTCAAACAGGTCTGACATGATACAGACACAATTCATTGCTGGCTGTCAAGGCCTCTACCTACAACAAATCTGGCATCAGTGCATTTAAACTAGATTGTTACCAACATTGTAACCTTTACAAGGGGAAACAATTAAAGAGAGTAGCTTTATTTCAGGTGGTTACTTACAAAAAAATAATGAAGCCAAATCTCAAAGAATTAACACACCACTGATAGCCCTAACCATACACTTGCATTCACACTGTGGAATGCCCACTCGCTGCAGAATGGAACTGTGACACATTTTGTCTTTAAGGTTAAGGAAACCTTAACCTCTGAAAACACTGGATATTTTCCCTGACACAAACTACATTCAAAAAGTGCAGAATTATACAACATTTAGCATTACCCCATTTTTGCTTCCCATAAATAATATCGATTTTTCCCAAAGTTCCCCGTGCTTGCCATCGGCGCCAGAGCTCTTCTCCACTGCAGCTATAGCCAGATCCCATAAAGTATCACTAGATGGAAAGAAACAAAACAAGAGGGTTATTAGAGAAAAACAGTGGACCTTAGACCATAATTCCTGAAAACATCTGAATGCAGGTTATTGTGGTTTAGATTGCTATAATTTCACATTGCCTGCCCTCTGCTTGCCATAGAATCTTAGAATTTAGGGGTTGGAATGGGGCTTAGAGAGCATCTGTCCCCAACCCTCTGCCCTGGGTAAGGACACCTCCCACCAGAGCAGGATGCTCAAGGTTTTATCCAACCTGGCTTTGAATACTGCCAGGGTTGGGGCACCCACTACCTCACTGAGCAACCTGTGCCTCACCACCCTCACAGGAAACAACTTTTTTCTAGTATCTAACCTAAATTTCCCCTCCTTCACCTTGACGGCGTTACCCCTCATCCCATGCCGCAGCACTCCCGACCAGCCCCGCAGGTCACCCCGGCAGCACACGCCGAGACCACACGGGCGGGTCGGCTTGGTTTTGGGCGCGTTCGAGACACCCTCGCAAGGCTTTTGTGTCGGCCGGAGCTCCCCGCG